AAAGGGGACCCAGCTGCTCAGTGTCTGAAGAAGAACATTCAGGCCCATGAGCTGGTCCCATCTGGAAGGCTGGGGGCCCAATCAACCTTCCTTCGGTGGTTTTGCCCTCTGATTAACCAGGAAGTGTGTTATTTGTTCTGAGCAGGGGACAAGCTCTCCTGGAGAGAGGAATTCAGGGCTGGAGGTCCAGTCACTTCCAAGGAAGAAAAATCCCTGGAATTCTGTCAGGAGTCTGGGTCTCAGCAAAAGGAGCAGAAATGCTTGTTTTTGGTCCTTATTTACCAAATTAGTTCAGGTTCTGGTAGCTGTCTGGCTGCCAGCATTATTCCAGCAAGACATGGAAAAGCAATTAGGTTGCCCTGGGTGTCCAGCAGACTGCTGTCCCCTCTCGTGGTGCGTGTGTCTGGGCAAACCTTTCTCTGCCGGAATCTCTTTAGCAACCCTTTGGAATCTCTACAGGGCTTTCCAGAGATGATTTTCCTCCCCAGACCCAAGAGATGGGTGAGTAGGCTTAGCAGCATTCTCATGAGAGAGGAAGCTGGGATCGGGGGTGGGACGGTGATGCATGGCGAGTCAGGGCCATGCCAGAAACAGTTAGCCACCCTTCTTTTACTAGGCACAGAGGGTTGAGGGGAGCAGAAAGTTCTGATAACCCCACATCTCCAGGGTATTGAACAGTGGGCTAGCAGGCAGGGAAGAGGGCATTTGGGAACATGCACTGGTGGTGCTTTGGGGGTGACGGTGGTGTGAGTAGGTGGTGGTCCACTCCAATTGTGAGGAGGGGTACTGGCTCACAAGCCCAGGATTGAGGCACGATGGCACAGCTTTAAAAGCTTGGGCTCAGGTAGAAAATGACCCTAGCTTGAATCCTGCATCTGCTACTTATCAGCTGTGTCACTTTGGGCAAGCCAGTAGCCATTCCCAACCTCAGTTTCCTCCTTTGTCTACGTGGAAATCCTAGTGCCTCCTTGAGATGGTTAAATGAGCCAATTTATGTAGCGTGCTTAGCATGGTGCTTGGACTGTAGTAGGCTGTTTAAATTTTGGCAGCTTAAAAAAAAAACAAACAAAACTCAAGTATTTATGGGATTGGAGATCCTGAAGAGCTGCATCAACAGGTTCCAACAGTGAGAGGGCAAGGGAGGGATGGGCAGTAAGTAGGAGGCAAGACAGGAGGATAGCGCCAGGCTGGGAATAGGAGATGCCAGTCTTTGGAGTGGATGAGCTGGGCCGTGGGCCCCTAGGAGAACAGGGTGGAAATGTCCAAGGACCACTTGTACTCACCAAGGAGTGGGAGGGGCCCCTGGTGGTGAGGGAAGCGTGTCTGCGTGAGGGCTTTGGCGGAGGCGAAGGGTGAGGGATGAATGGGCGGCAGACTTCCAGAAATGCAGACGGAGGAGACGGAGCAGTAATAATGACTTGGACACACACGAGGAAAAAATAGCTCAGGGACGAAGAGTTCGCCAAGGTTTCTGGCCTTGGGAGGCCTATGGGGATCTGAGGTGAGCCTTGAGGGATGCAGAGCAGAGCTCCTGCAGGAACTGGGCAGGTTGCGGGGAGTGGAAGGGAAGCCGGAACTACAGAGTTGGGCGGATATCTGGGCAGGGAAAGGTAAGCGTGAAGCTAGGGCTTCCACAGCTGTGCACGAGCAGTGTTGCAGGGAGAGAACTGAGCACTCTGGGAATTGAGGGGGCATTCATCCCCACATGCAAGGGGTAGATACTGGGGATCTTTAGGGCCAGCCCTCAAGACAGCAAGCACATGAACTTGGATCAGTAGCTACCACCCAGAACTCAGTTTTTCTCTCTTAAAATGGTCTGATGATACCAGCCCTCCTTTCTTGATGGGATTTTTCTGTCATTCATTCATTTCACACGTATTTCTTGGCTGTCTGTAAGCAAGCACAGTCAAGCACTGTTCTAGGTTTTGGGGGAGCAGTGCTGATCAAGGCAGACAAGATATTTATTCCTTTAGAGCTATCATTGTGGCTTGGCAAGTCAGACAATAAATGATGTTACAGGTTGTTGAACAAGACTTTTTCTGTGCTCTTAGAATGTCTGCAGAAGCCACAAAGCTAGAACAATAAGGGCTAAATATTCTCACATTCTAAAGAGAAGTACCAGGCACCCTACTAAAGGCAGAAGAGGTTCATCAACAGTCAAACCACATCCCTCGATTCCAGGCCACAAATGAAAGGGATTGAAGAAAGTCACTGAGGTAGAGAGGTAGAGAACTGTTGCATTAGCAGGCAGGTCTGAGATTTCCCCTAAGGGTACCCCCTGCAATGCAAACCAAGTGGAAGGAGCTCTGAGAGAACCAGTCATCTGCAAAAAGAGGAAACTAGGTCCCCACAGCTGTCCTTGCACTGATACTGGCTAAGTTGCTGGAAGTCGCAGGCACCCCAATGCACCAAAGTACAGCAAGAAAGTTCTTGGGAGAACTCGACATACGTCTTTGGGAATTGAAGATGTACATACATGAAGAAACTTATGTGCACTTCCTATCTGGAGAATTCTGACTGTGGAGGCTGGCTGCAATGGACTGTATGGCAGGGTGAGGAGGGGGCGGGGTGAGAAGTAGTAGCCAACCCTCCAGTGCTTTGCCTGTGCCTAATGTGGACAGGAAAGTCCCTGGGGAGCCAGGGCCTGCAGGGGCCTGCAAGAGGTTGGCCAGAGAGTGCTTTGTTATGGCAATGCAGGTGGAGGTCCTGCAGAGACCCCCCCCACCGCCCCCCTCCGGCCAAGAACCCGCAAATGTTCCCATGAAAAGAGTTAATGCTTGGCACCTGCCAACCTAGGGCACCTGTCACATAAGACTTCACTACTTTTCCACTAACACCTCTCCCCTAACCTTGACACAGAGGAGCCACAGCAGTAAAGGAAGGTCAGAAAAAAAGACCATGCGCCACTTCCAGCACTATAGGATCTCCGACTAAGGGACAGGCCTGTGAGGGAAGAGCAGGAGTATTAAATTGGATGAGGTTTTGATTTGAACAGGAACAGATTTTCTGAAAATTGCCTGAAAATTGGTCTTAATTATAGAAATAAAGCTGTTCTATGTCCAGTCGGGATGAGCAAGCCAAGAACTCTGCCTGAGATGTCATCAGGGTGGGGAAGGGAAATTCACCATAATACGGTTGAAGGCGGCAGTGGAGTAGTTTCCTGATTGTCCCTCTTCAGGTTCAGCCCATTTAAAAAAATTAGTTACGCAAGTAAAAAATAAATGAGGAGACAATTTCAGCTGGTCGTTAGAGCAATGAAGGTAAAACAGGGTGATGTGTTAGAGAGTGTGACTTTCTGCTCTAGACTGGGGAGTCAGGGAAGGCGGCTCCAGGAGGTGATATTTCAAGTGAGAGGTGAAGCGATGAGGAGCCAGTCCTGTAAACACCTTGGAGAGGATCCGGTGGAGGGAAGTGGGCATTAACTCAGCTGTTCAAGGAGCAGAGAGGTGGCCTATGTGGCTGTAGAGTGAGGAGTAAGGGAACGAGAGGGAGATGAGATCAGAGAAGGGGCCAGTCACTAGGGCCTCGCAGGCCAAGGGCAGGAGTTGAGGCTTTATTCCAACATTAGGCATTGCCTGTGCCCGTCTTCTGTGTGGTATGGGAGGTTGTAAACCGGTGTCCGCTCCTTCACTCTGCCTCTCTAGGAAACAGTCAGCTGTACAAATACCCCAACGGCAGCCTCTTCGTCCAGGCCTTTAGGATCTCAGTAGGGGACATGGGTGAGAATGATGAGCTGGTTATTGGGGACGCTCAGATGGGTGGCAATCGGCATTCTCGCACCCCTACCCCCATCGCTGCCAACACAATAAAATTCGAGCACACACACTGGATCAATCAGAGGCTCATCGAATCCCCTGGGGAAATTACTGAGGGCGTGAGGGGCCGGGGCGGGAGTCCAGGGAGTGGACTGAGCCAGAGGCAGGAGGCCTGGATTGCATTCCCCTCTTTGACACACGATGTCTCCCTGAGGGACCTAACTCAAGAGGCTCCATGTCTGTGACTCTGAAAAAGAGGACCCCTCTTCTAACAGCCGCCATCACCGCCCAGGCCCAGGCTGGTCCCTGACGCCACAGGAAGGGGATTAAGATCAAGGAGCGGTGGCTGGCAGCGGCAGGTTTCTGCGTCTGCGGATTGCCAAGGGCGCGGCCAGCTCCACCAGGGGGCGCGCCCGCCGCGGCCCAGGGAGGTGCGCTCCCCCGCTGCCCCGGCGCCAGCCGGTCTCCTAGGCGGACGCCCCCAGCGGCCGCGGCGGCCAAGGAAGCGGCCAGGTGCCGGTGCTCCGGGCCCTGTCCCTGCCACGCGGGTCTCCGTACCTCTCCCGGCCTCCTTCAGACCTGCGAGGCTGCAGCCTTGGTCATCCGACCAGGAGTGCGCCCCTAAGGTGAGGGGCGGGAGATAAATTTGGGGCAGGTCAGCAGCTGGAGCTTGCCCAGGGCAGGAGAAAGGTGACTCAGGTGCCCCTGTCCCAGCAGGAGTCATCTGCCCTACCAACCCCAGGGTCAGCCCTGCGCCGCCCCCAGCTCCTCACGGGTTAATCCCCCTCGCCGCCCGCTCGCTTCCCGGTGCCAAAGTGGGTGTTGCTGGAATTCCTCTCTCCCTCTCCCGTAACGAGGGGGCTGAGCTGTCCCTCCGAGGAGGGGGCATGGTGTGGATAAAAGAGACCAAAAAGCAGGGGGAGGTTTCCAAAAATAAAACCCTCCGGTTCCCCTTCAGACGGCTGCAGTGACGGGGAGGAGGCGCGAAGGTGCGGTGGCCGTGCGCGCTCAGCGGGAGTCAGAGCGCGGACTCGAGGCTCAGGGAGCGCAGCCCCGGCCGCTCTCGTCGCCCAGCCGTCGCTCCGGGGAGAGCCGGGCCCAGCCGGCTGCTTCGGGGGCCTCGTAGACGAGGAGAAGCGGGCCGCCAGGCGGGGTCGGGAGAGCAGTCCGCGGGCGGTCCCGCACACGACTACAAACCTCCGCGCGGTCCCCCGCGCGCACCGCTCTGCAGCCACCCCTGGCGCCATGAGGCCACGGACCAAAGCCCGCTGCCCGGGGCGCGCCCCGTGGGACTCCTGGAGGGGCTTCCTGCCGCTCACCCTGGCTCTCTTCGTGGGCATGGGTCATGCCCAAAGGGACCACTTGGGGAGATACGAGCCGGCTGGCGGAAACGCGAATCGGCTGCGGCGCCCTGGGGGCAGCTACCCCGCAGCGGCTGCAGCCAAGGTGTACAGTCTGTTCCGAGAGCAGGACGCACCCGTCCTGGGCTTGCCGCCCGCGGAGCGGGCCCAGCTGGGCTGGGGGAGCCCCAGGAGGCCCGCTGAGGCGGAGGCCAGGAGACCGCCCCGCGCGCAGCAGTCGCGGCGAGTCCAGCCACCTGCGCAGACCAGGAGAAGCACTCCCCTGGGCCAGCAGCAGCCCGCACCCCGGGCCCGGGCCGCGCCAGCTCTTCCGCGCCTTGGGACCCCACAGCGGTCCGGGGCTGCGTCCCCAACCCCGCCGCGAGGGCGGCTCACGGGGTGAGCACGGGAGAGGGAAGCATGGGAGGTGCAGGGGGGAGCGAGGGCCGGGGCTCCGGTGCGCGCTTTCTGCTCATTCGTGCAGGGGTGTGCAGGCGAGGGGAGAGGGCGGCAGACTCGTGCCCTCGTCCCTCTGTCCTCAGTACTGTGGGGAAACATGTCCCTGGGTTCGTAAGTCAGTGCTTGGAGATGTGACCCTCTTTTGAAGAGTTGAAGGCAAAGATCAAAAACATCCTCACCCTTTCTTACCAGGTCGCCCCGAGCCCAGACGTTAAATCCTTTCGCGAGGCGCCTTCGCCCGCGCTCCTGCTGCCTCAGCTAAGCAGCTTTCGCAGACGCCCGCAGCGCTGCCGGCATCCCAGAGGCAGAGAGAGCTAGCAGGGGTGGGCGCCTTAGACGCTTGAGGCCCAAGGGAGATTGAGCCGTACGGGTAGGCGCAGGATGTCAGGGCCTCCAGGGCGCGAAGGCAGATGTGTCTCCGTGAAGGGGGCTGGCAGCGAAGCGAGAGAACCAGGACAAGTGTATAGGTCGGGCCACAGGTCGGCCTGGGCACGGGGAGGGCTGGATGTGGGCGTGGGCGTGGGCTCTGGGGCACTTTGGGCAGAAAGCCTGCCCCGGATGTGTCTGCCCCACAGTGGGCACGTGGAGAATTAGATCTGCGTGCACTGGTGCTTCTAGGTGTCAGTGCGACTTGTGCACTTTGCAGGGCAAAACCTCCCAACCCTGCGATTTTTCGCCCCGCTTGAGCACCAACCCCTGTCAACCGGGGGCACAGACGCAGTGTGAGGAGAGCCCCACTCCCCAGCAACCGCTGGCCCCTGGCCGGGACCTTCATGGCTGCGGGGCACTCCACCTTGCCCTGGGTATGACAGGTGTCTCTGGAATGGAGGGCACAGGAGCCCTGGAAGGCGCGAGGCTGTGTGGGGGCACCATCGCGAGGTCTGGGAAGGACTGTGGCAGCTTTTCTTGGCCTGGGCCCGATTTCCCAGTTGGGTTTAGTCCAGGGAAACAGCATGAAGGACACTTGTACCCCCAGGTCTGCTCCTGAGGACCTTCTGCCTCACTCTTCTCCCTTGTTTCAGCAGGGTCCACTCTCTGCCTGATTCAGAGCTGCTCAGAGAGCAGAGCTCCATCCTCTCTCTCCTTTCACCTGCTTTTGTTTTGCTTTGTAGCACTTATGCCATCTGACATATTCTATTTCTGTGTATGTGTTTGTGGTCTGGCCTCCCACACTAATGCAAGTTCTGTGAAAGCAGGGACTTTGTTTTGTTCATTTCTGTGTTACCAGTGCCTGAAACAGTGTCTGGCCACAGTTGGTATTTGCTAGGTATCTGTCAAAGTAGTGAATGAACTCCCTGCTGCTGGTGGAAGGTCCCGCTTCAAGCAGGCAGAGCGTAGACCCGTGCACTGCCAAGTCGCTTACGCATAGGATCATTCAACAAGCATTAGTGGAGCACCTGCTGTGTGTCGGCTGTTTCCTGTCTTGCCTGTGCAAGTGAATGCACGCTTCCTCAGAGCGTGTGTGCAGAGCATGGGAGAGGGCATGAGGGCCCAGGGACCCAGGCGTTGTTCCTGCTGGGAGAACAACACCGTTACTTAAAATCAAGTTGAAGAAATGAACAGATATGTACTGGTAAATGTGCTTTCTAGTACTGGAAGTTTCATGTTCAGTGCAAAGGAGTGTGGCAGTTGGGCTGAGGAGCTCAGAGGAAAGGGCGGCCCTGTGACTTGGGGCCCCTGAGACTCAGTGGACAGTATGTGGGGAAGCAGAGGGGAGGTGGCAGGAAAGGGGCCCAGAGATCAGGGTGGCGTGCAGGTGTAGCATCACCCAAGGACAAGGACTTTTCACTGTTGGCACTGTCCCATGGGTAGGACTGCAGCTCTGGTGTAGGGTAGCTGTGGGGCTGAGGCTGGAGACATAGGTTGGGCTGGATCATGGAGGAGCTTATACTGTAGACATTCAGGTACAAGTGGGGAAAGGGAAGGTGGGGAAGTGGAGGGTGGGGGTTGGAGGTTGTACTATTAGAAGTCATGAAATGAGGTGGTGATGAGCAAAGCAGACTGTCATCACAACAAGGCTGGTAGATGTGCACAGGTGCGTGAGGGCATGGGCTGAGTGCTACCTGCTGTACACAGGTGCACACATCACATGACACGCTGGGTTGGACTCCTTCCCCAGATTGTCTTCTGCAGCTTTGATACAGAGTGGGTTCCCCTGGCACTGCAGTCAGCCACTCCATGTCAGTTGGGGAGGGGCTGGGTGATAGTCTTATTCATTGGCTTTCTCCACCTGGGTCTGTTCTGGCTGATGGCTTCTGGCTAGGCTGACCGCTCTGGCCATTGCCTTGTGAGCCGCTCAGAGCCAAGGACCAAATGCCACCTGCTGGTGAATCTTGGAACTGCATCACTACTAGTGAGAATTCTTCATTCAACAAATATTTTGGAAGGCCTCCTATACCCAGGGACTATGCTGTACCCTGGGGATACAGCAGTGGCCAAGAAAGACAGCCTCTGTCCTCATGGAACTTTCAGTGTAGTGGGGATTTATTGCACACGATGAAGACTTATTAAGTATGTGCCAGGCATGGCACTAGGTGTCTGGGATATGGCAGACCAGAGCAGACATAGTTCCTGCACTAATGAAATTTACAGTCTACAGGGGACTTATTAAGTCATTGCTTCCCAATCTTCAGTGTTTCTGGAACCAGCCTTATAGCATACCATCTTCATAACATTTTCATCTACCTTTCCCCTCTCGTTCTGTTATTTTTCTTTAATTTTATATTCTGTTAAAATTTCTAACAGGATTTTTTTATCTATTTTAAAGTATATTATGAAGTTTTACAAACATACAAAAAGGTATTAGACATAATATAACTTACAATCCAGCTTTATCAAACCTTAATATTTTAGCATATTTTGCTTCTAATATTTTAGCTGAAATTTCCTCTATAAATTTGCCTCCTTCTCACCCCAGAGTTAACCACTACCCTGAATTTAATTAATTCCAATGCATGCTTTCACATTATAAAATATACAAAATTGTTTTTGCGTTTTTTGTTTTTTTTTTTAAGACAGGGTCTCACTCTGTTGCCTGGTCTAGAGTGCAGTGACATCATCATAGCTCACCGCAGCCTCCAACTCCTGGGCTCAAGTGATCCTCCTGAGTAGCTGGGACTACAGGCACACACCACCACACCCAGCTAATTAAAAAAAAAATTTTTTTTTTTTTAGAGACAGTGTCTCGCTCCACACCCCAGGCTAGTCGTGAACTCTTGGCCTCAAGCAATCCTCCCACCGTGGCCTCCCAAAGTGCTGGGATTATAAGCATGACCCTCTGTGTCCAGCCTTGCTTTTGTGTATTTTAAACTTAGATAAGCGATACCATATTGTATTATCTTCTACAATTTGTTTTTCCTTCTCACTAGATTTTTGAGATTCACCATGTTAATATAATTAGCTCAAGTTTATTCATTTTAACCGTTGTATATTATTCCTTTGTCTGAATATACCACAGTTTATTTATCCATCCTCCTGTTTTTGGATATTTAGATGAATTTCATTTTTTTGCTATTACAAACAGTGCTTGACTCACTTTTCTCCATAAATAAATTCTTTTTTTTTTTTTTTTTTTTGAGACAGAGTCTCACTGTGTTGCCTGGGCTAGAGTGCCGTGGCGTCATCCTAGCTCACAGCAACCTCACACTCCTGGGCTCAAGCGATCCTACTGCCTCAGCCTCCCGAGTAACTGGGACTACAGGCATGCGCCACCATGCCCGGCTAATTTTTTCTATATATTTTTAGTTGTCCAATTAATTTCTTTCTATTTTTAGTAGAGACGGGGTCTCGCTCTTGCTCAGGCTGGTTTCGAACTCCTGAGCTCAAACAATCCGCCTGCCTCAGCCTCCCAGAGAGCTAGGATTACAGGCAATAAATTCTTAACTAAAAGGCAATGTTGTATCATTATCATAAGTTAAAAGTAGTACCACTTGTCATAAAGAGAAGGTAACTGTAGGAAAATTGAAATGAAAACAAAATGTTCTTAAGTTCTAGTTAGACACTACTCCTTACCTCAGCAAGCTGAGTTGTGTGGTGTGTTATCTCTGTCACAATGGGGGACTAGCAAGGGTTGGGGCAGGACCTGGCATGAGGGCCCGGCATCAGACAGACATTTTCACTGACTACATCAGGTTAGAAAGATCACAGAAAAGGGAGTCACTTCTTCACCATGTGGCTCGGATTTTTGAACGCTGGGATCATGTAAACCTAAAGTCCTCTTTCCTACCCTCAGTGTTGGTCATCCCACTCTTTGGGAAACACTGGATTAAGCGACACAAAGAAGTATTAAATGTATGCCATGTGTCAGCCGCTGTGTTAGACTCTAGAGGCACAAAGAGAAATAGGGAAGAACCCTCAAGTATCCAAGACCGAGACACAACTAACAACCTGAGACAACCAGAACTAAATGATTGCAGCAGGTGGAGAATAGGGAAGGCTGGGTAGATGTCAGGGGAGGTCTTATACAAAGGAGGTAACATTTGATCTGGAAGTCTTGGAGTATGCAAAGGATTTCCATTGACAAACGAGAGGGAAGGATTCCAGGCAGAGACAGCCGCATAAGCAAAGGCGCCAAAGTGTGACCTGGTGCACTTGGGGGACAGCAAACCTCACATGCTTGGAGGAGCACAGCTTTGGTTGTGGATGGTTATGGAGGTGAGGGTGGGGTGATGGGACAATTAGACTGCACAGGCAGGGGGGGCCCAGGTGGCTTTGTAGATGCCAACGAGGAGCTGTGAGAGATTTTCTTAAACAAAGGACTAGTATGATCAGATTTATCCCAGTTGTAACAGCAGCTGTCCCAGGCTCTGAACCAGATGTGTCTCCAATAGTGATGCTGGATATTGCTGAGTAGTGTCACCTGGAAGATTGGGCTCATGTGATCTCTGAGTGGTACCTTCCAGGAAGTCAGAGCCATCGAATCATATGGCCTAGATATTCAGGCTCAGTTTTTCTCTCTGCTAGGCAGAGCCCACCGAAGGGACAATTCCCCACTAGTCACCTCTCTGGGCCTGTACCCAAGACTTTAATATTGGACTAGAAAGGACCCTCAGATGATTTCACTGGGTACCTACACCGCTCTTGCGTGCCCTCCCAGCCTCAATCTGGCCCCTCTGCCTGGCAGCCTTTGATTCTGGCCAGTCCTCACTGTGGCCCCGACATCCCTCCGTCTCCACCATGGACGGGCAAGGCAGGCCCCGCCACTGCCCTTCTACAGTCAGCTGCAAAGCCACCCTGAGGGCAGCTGGGGTGACAGCTGGCTCAGGGGGCCTCCCTGGGCTGGGCTCCATGCCATGAGCTCCCCGCCGGGCAGGCCCCTCAGTCCGTGCTGTCTGGGTTCCCACAGGCCCTAGTTCTTAGAAAACTCCCAGGGCACGCAGTCTGTTTCCTCTTAAAAACCTCCCAGCCCCACTAAGAGGCCTTGTCACCACCACAAGGGTTAGTGACTTATACATGGGGGGTAGTTTTACTCTTTCACCAGGGCACACACTCAGAAACCCTCCCCTGGCCCCCGGGGACATGGGCCCTGGTGGGAGGAGGCCTTCATTTAACCGGGAAGCTGCTAAAGGTGGTGCCCCAGAGAGGCTTCGAGGTGGCCCAGGTGGCACAGCTCTTGTCCAGCAGGACAATCTGAAAACTCCCTGGGAGGGAGGCAGCTCCCCACAACTTTGGGCCAAAGGGCCAGGAATGGGTCTCAGCTTTTTCAAGCTGCAGGAATTTATTTTGAATTCTTTGTAAGGCTCCAAAAACCACACAAGCTTTGGGGTCCACTCAAATGTCAAACAAACTCCTAAGTGGGACCAGATGTCGCCGTGCTGGCCACAGAGATCACAGGAATGGCCGCCCTGTTCTGTCCTTCGCCTCTCTGGCCTCTGTGTCTTCTCTCCCCACCGCCTACCCCCAGCCCAGTTTCAGTGAGCACTCAGTGGACAATTTCTGATGATAATGATAGGTCCCTGGAGCCAGAGCAGGGCCCAGCCTGGGCCAAGGAGACAGTCCTCACTGGTCTCCAGGAGGAGCTCATCCAGGGAGTTGCCCTGGTCTAGGCATTTGGGTCTTGAGGTCGAGAGGCAGGGCTGGGTGAAACTGGCTGGTGCTTCCTGAACCTCTCCGAACTGGCTTACCATCTTTATGATCACAGCCATTGTTGCCCCAGAGGACTGCCTTCTTTGGGTCAGGGGCTAAAGATCCCTATCTCTTTTAATCATCACAACAACCCAGTTAGGCAGGTATCATTATCTCCATCGTACAGGTAGAGAGAGAGTGACATTTCCCAAGGGCATGCAGAGAATGGCAGAGTCAGGATTCAATCTTAGATTTGCGTGATTCCAAAGTGCCTGTCCCCTAGTGGCCCTGCATGATCCCATGTGACCTCCCTAGAGAGAATGGGGCCAGTCTTCCAGCCCCGCAGTGTTCCTCCAGGCCCTGCTTGCAGAGGGTGGGACCATCAGTGGGGCCCTGTGAATAGTCCCAGCTCTGAGCATCCTTGTGCTGACCCCACAGGAGGAACGTCTGCGGGGGACAGTGCTGCCCGGGATGGACGACAGCAAACAGCACCAACCACTGTATCAAACGTGAGTGCTTCTCACCCGCCATGAGGTGGGCCAGGTTCAGGAACTCCAGAACCTGCAGCAGAAGCGTCCTCACCCATCTGCCTCCTGAGGATGCAGCTTTCCTCTGGAGTGGACGTGATGTGCAGTGGAAGGGAGGAGATGTAAAAATGCAAATGCCTCCAGCTGGAAACAGATGATCCCTGCTCATGTGTGTTTTTTTGTTTGTTTTTTTTTTTGAGACAAAGTCTTACTCTGTCACCCGGGCTAGAGTGCCGTGGCATCAGCCTAGCTCACAGCAACCTCAAACTCCTAGACTCAAGTGATCCTCCTGCCTCAGCCTCCTGAGTAGCTGGGACTACAGGTGTGCACCACCACACCCAGCTAATTTTTACTATTTTTAGTAGAGACGGGCTGTCACTCGCTCAGGCTGGTCTCTAACTCCTGAGCTCAAGTGATCCTCCCGCCTCAGCTTCCCAGAGTGCTAGGATTACAGGCGTGAGCCACCGCGCCCCCCACCTCCTGCTCATGTTTTTGCAGCTCCCTGCGTCTGCTCCTGCTTCCCCACTGTGTTGGTGCCGACTCAACCTGTCTGCAGGGTCTCAGGTGCCCACACATCCTTGTGGTTTGCAGAATACACCTGGCCCAGAGCCTCCACACCACGCATTTCCAGGGGCACCATTCACATAGTGTGCAACATGAACCCACCTCTGCCCTGGCCCCTGGCCCAAATGTCCTGGCCTCTGTCGGGTACTCCACTGGGATGGTCAGATGAGGCTCTGACCCCGAGTCTGCAGTAGTCTTCCCTTGGGCTGCTCTGAAGCCTGGCAGGCTGCCTCAAATGAGGGAAAAGAGAGAACAGTCATCTCAGTCACCTGGAAACCAAGGACTGAAATGGGAAGAGTCGGGGCCTCTTTGCCAGAGCCTTCTACTGACGGCGTCAGAGACAGTAACAACAATACTCTGGACAAGAGCCAATACCTATTTAGCACTCACTTTGTGCAAGGTGCACTTTATCCTCTGGGGCAGAGAGTACCACCGTCCATTTGGTGGATGAGGAAACTGAGGTACAGACAGGTAACTTGCCCAAGGTCACATGGCCAGGAAATGCATAGCTAACATTTGAACCCAGATAACCTGACTCCAGGGCCCCTCTTCTTAATATCTATTCTCTCCTACCTTGTATCTTACCTTACCTTTCTGGGCCTCACTTTCTACGTCAGTGAGCTGGGGATGACAGTATACTAACACTACTGCTAGCTAATGACTAACTAACGACTCTTCCCTATGGCCCAACACCATGCTAAGCTCTTGACATACATTATCTCAGTTAGACCTCTCAATAGTCGCGGATATTTACTTACCATCCCTGCTTACAGAGGAGGAAACTGCAGCTCTAAACCAAGGCTACACTGCTGCAAGTGCTGGAGCTGCGGCAGTCTGATTCCAGAACTCCAGGCTCTAAGCTCTTGGGCTTTATTCCCTCCCAACACCAAGTGAGGCAGGCATTCCAGAGTGTGAAATCCCCACGGGCTATAGCAGATTTGGGGGTTGGAGGGAGCCCCTTTGATCTTCCTCCTTCACAGCCCAGGGCCCCCTGGGGTCCACATCAGCTCCTTAGGAGCTCTGCCCGGCTGCCCTCCTGCAGCTGCCACTGCCTCTGCTGGGCCCCAGCCGGCTGCAAAGCCTCAGTCTCGCCAGCTCCCCTTCCTTCCTCCAGGACCAGGCCCTTCTCAGCGAGAGGGTCTCACAGCTAGCGGTCCAGGTGTATGACAAAGCTCGTGGTGGATGCCCTCGTCTGGCTCTCCCGACACCCCCAGGATGGGGATGTGATGGGATGCCCCCGTTCCCCTGGAAACAGAGACGCTGGCTCCCCAAGCTCAGGCCTCATGGCCCTGACCCTCTGCCAGGCTGAAGGTGCAGCTCAGGCAGAACCTCCAGCTAAAGAAACCAAAATCCAAAACTCAACAACAAACAACAAGGCGGATCTTCTGCCGGAACACCCTTTCCTTTCTGGGGAACCTAGGAGTGGGGGCTCTCAGAGGACAGGCCCTTTATGGCTGGTGGCAGGGCTGGGAAAGGACTGTTTTCCTCTCACAGTTTTAAAGATGAAGAAAGTGTGCCTTGGAGAGGTGGTGACTTGCTTAGGTCACACAGCTCTTCAGAGGAGAGGCTGAGACTCAAACTCAGCTCTGAGCAACTCCTCTGGGTAGAGAGGCCTGGGATGTGGGTGGCCAGGTGGCTCTATGCTGAGCTGAAGCTCTGGGGGCAGGGCCCTGGCACTGGTATTTTTTTTTTAAAGCACCCTAGTGATTCTAGCTGTGGCCGAAAATCACTGAGCGGAGTTTGGGGGTCAATCATGGGAAGATCTGCCTTGGGGGCTCTCCTCAAGTTTGAATGTTCCCACAGATCCTCCGGGGATGTTAGCAGATTCTGATTCAGCAGGTCCGGGCGGGGCTGGAGTTTCTGTGTTTCTAACAAGCTCTCGGGGGATGCCGATGCTGCTGGTCCGGGGACCACGCTTTGAGGCCTGGAAAGGGATTTGGAGTTGGAGATGTGGAGGAGGCTTGGTACGTTCTGCGGAGCTTAGCCTCTACTGGGAGGCCGCACTGGCTGACGCAGAGTGTTGTTGAGTTTGAGTTGCAGCTGGAGCAGGGTGGCTCCAAGGGGGGTGGGCTTCTCCCCAGCTGCCTGAAGGGTCTGGGCATGGGCTCCACCTGGAACCCTGGAGGTTCTCAGTTTCCTAACTTGCTTGTGATTTTCCAGCATTGCTCTTTGCCAAACTGGAGTTTCAACCCTGGAAACTCGAGCGTGGGTGAGTCTGCCGACTGTCACAGTACAAGCATGTGTGTGGGTACCCTCGTGCCCCCTGGGTCCCCGCTCCAGGATGCTGCCAATACCCCTCCCCCGTGATGTCTCTGCCTGGCGCTCTCACCCTGCCGCTCCTCTGGTCGCCCACACTGACCCAGGCCCGCAGGCCGGCGGCTCTCCTGGAGGGAATCGGCTTGCCCACTGGTCCCTGTGCCGTGTGCTGGTTGCTATTTGGCAGCTAATAAGCCTAATGAGAACCACGCGGGCCGTGGGGCGTTGGCCCTGTGCGCTGGGTCCAGAGCTCTGTAGAATGTGGGTCTCCTGGCCCCGCACCCTGTCAGCTGGCTCCCGCTCCCCCAGTGGCGTTGCGTCTCCCTCTCCCCGCCCCACAGTTGCCCTCCTGGCTGGAACAGAGACTGCTGGTGCCGGGGAATGTTCATGACTCTGTCCTAGCAGCTTTTCACATGTGGGGGTGCCTCCCTGGGCTGGCAGGAGGTGGGGGCTGACATCTCTTCACTGCCAGGAATGAAGTCTAGTCTCAGAACCATGTGGAGATGCAGTCTTTCCCCTGGTCTCTCCCAAATATCTGTGGCCCCAGCCCAGCACCCAATCGTAGGGAGTGCTGGCTGGTGCTAGGTACCACCGTCCTGAGCGCCCCCACCCCGCACCGTCCTCCCTCGCCTCCTCTCTCAGAGTCAATCCTAGGTTGCTGTAACACACAGTGCGCCTCCCTGGCCTGCCCCTCTTCCTCCCTGCCCAGTCACTGGACCTCAGGGAGGTGCCTGCAGGTGCCCAGTGCTGGAACCCCATCTCCTCCCTCCACCCCGGCGGGGTCCAGAGCTGAGCTGTCGTCTTCCCCTCTGGTCTTGGTATCTGCCTTTCCTTCTGTGGCCTTGCCAGCTGTCCCTCAGGATTTATGTGTTTATATATTTGTGGAGGCAGCTGACTGGGGCCAGTCTGGCCCTGCTCAGCTGAGGGGAAAGACTGAGGGTGTGGGGTGACGGTGTCCTGTTTATAGTTGCTGCTTTTGGAAGACTGTTCAGTCTTCCCAGACTGGCTCACCCCGCTCCCCACCCAGACCGGGGAAGGGGATTTGAAGACTCTCTAGACTTCTCATTTTATCTCAGCCCAAATGCACAGGGGCTGGGGCTGCTCTGCGGAGGGCAGAAGGGAACCCCTGGAGTCGAGGAGGGGACCAGGTGAATCACTCTCTCACCCCCACCCCAAGCAGTGAGGCCCAAGGTTAAGAGCATGTGCGTTCGAATGCTAGCTCTGTGTTCTGGTGCAAGTGACTGGCCCTCTTCTAGCTGTGGAGCCTCAGCCGTGAAATGGATGCGATAATCTATACAGAGTTGTTTTTGAGGATTAGTGATAATAATACTCTATAGCTCTTATTATGTGTCAGGTACTATTCTAAGCACTTTATGTTATTAATTTTTAGTCCTCACAACAACCCTATGACTACATTTGATTTTTCTCCCCGCTTGCAGAAGGGGTTAGCTATTTGTCCCAGTCACGCAGCTGGGAGTCAGCAGAGCCCAGACGCGAATCCAGGTAGCCTGGCTCAGAGTGCAAGGCCTAACTCTGCGCTCTCTGCTAAATGAGCGAGTGTATGTAGACAGCCTGGCGCGTGGGACGTTCCGTGGGTATTGGAATGCTAGATCCAGGAGACTGTGCAGACTGCCTGGGTTTCAATGCCAGCCCCACTGCTTAGTGGCTGTGGGACGATGGGCAGCTTGCTTAAGCTCTCTGTGTCTCAGTTTCCTCTTTTGTAAACTGTGACTAATGGTAGTTCCTGCCTCCCAGAGTTGTAAGCAACAAATGAGTCAACTCAGGTCAAATGTTTAGTTCAAGGCCTGGCACGTTCTATGTGCTCTATACATGTTTGGCCTTGATCTTGAGGGTAGGGACCATGTCCCATCCCCCCAACACGCAGCATTCTGGGCACAAGGTAAAGCCTTAGTGAGTGTGTACTGAGTAATAGAGGGCTTGTCCCAGGCTTGTGCTGAGAGGTCCCTTTCTGCTGCCCAAGTTCTGTCAGCCCTTCCAGAAGCTTCCCATGGTGCTCAGAGGATCCTGGGGCTGGAGACGCTGGAGTGGGCCTGGGCATCTGCTCCTGCCTCCTTGGCCCAGAGCCTCTGTGTGCATGGTGGGCACTGCAACAGCCTTTCCTTTTGTCCTCATCTCAGTCCAACAAGGACCCCATCCCTCCC